ATTGATCTGTATATCTAAATGTATTATAAAGAACAAGAGGGGAAAAAGGTGGTGGAGACATCTTAAAATGAGAGGATATAAAATATATTTTTATGGCTTTCATTGATATTCAGATATATTAGACTGACTTCGAGCTCAACAAATACTGTCCCAGAACAGATCAGATCCATAGAAATGTTCAAAGTACTCTGAAGAGATTCTGCATTGTGCTTGCAAGGTAGAATTTCATATATCTCATCTCTTGCTATATCCTTTCCTCATCCCTGACCTATATGCTTTTCTTGAGGATTTTGATGCTTTTCTTGAGGATTTTGAGAACCTAAATGATTTTCTTAAGCTGTGCTGCAGCTCTGGCTTTGGTGTTCCCTGGTCCACATGAATACAACAACACAATGAATCTGCTCTGTCCTGTCATAAGGATGAGTGAGTCATCCCTTCAAAAAGAAAAAGACAATGGCCATTGACTTATTCCATTGTTCTCTTTGTAGCTGCCACCCTACAGTGTAGCAAGATTGGTGTAATTTTGAACCAAGAATTTGAGCTGAGAATAATAATGTGGGCTTTAACTGACCCACATTAGTGACCAGCAGCCTTGAAAGAGAAATAAATGCAAGTACAAACCTTTTCAGAAAAGATTTGGTGGAGCACTTCAGAGAAGTGTGGTTAAAAAAAGAAAATATGAGAGTAGATGCCATTTATTAATAATCATCATTTGCATTTACTTAGAACACTTTAATGACTACACCATTTGCCCTAAACTTAAGATTTTTATATAGAACTGGAGAAGAATTATTGTACATAGTCAAGGAATGGTGAGGAGAACTTCAGACTTTAAGGTAAATATGACAGTGCAAATACCTCTTTGGGGACATTGCTGTATTTTATATTAATTCACCAGTATTTAACAGAGGGGAAAATTATAGAGACATGTGGGGTTTGGCTGCAATTTTGTAGGTTGTGGTTGCATGATAACAGGAACTCATCAGAAACCATTAGCTACTCCACTGACTTAAGTCACAAATATTAAACCCTTGTCTGTCATTAATTTCCATCCAGTTCAATCCTCAGCCCATGTTATCTCCCAGCCCTCTTCCCCTTCAAGAACCTTCCACTGAGAAATTTCCTCTGGCTGTGGTGCAATGACTTTATCACAGTGGCACAGGATAAGTGAAAGGTGTTGAAGTCTGATCTAAGGCTTTTTCCCTTGGGAAGTTTTGAACACATTTCCAGCTCCCACTCCTTATGTGGTCCAGACCCTTCCCCAGCTCCTTTGCCCTTCTCTGGACATGCTCCAGTGGCATTTTCCAGTGAGGGGCCCAAAACTTAACCTGGAATTTGAGGTGCCACAGTAGTGCTGGTTCCCTGTACATGCCACAGGATGGCCCTCAGGCTGACAGAGATCAGGTGTTACAGATATAAGGTGTTATGCTGTGCTGGTCTCACAGCAAATCTGGCTGTATTTTTCACTGGCAGAACCAAGATATCCATCTTGAGGAGAGGGATTTTATGGTTCATGTGCTGTGATTAAATAAGAGAGCCCAATATTACAGGGTGGCTGTTGTGTTGCACCAAAACCAATCTGAGGCTTGTTAAACTTTTCCTGGTCTTTTGGCTTCCTTCAATTTTGAGTTGTTATGTCAAGCCCACCTCTTTTCCACCAAGGAAGGCCAGTCAGGCTTGGATTTTAATCTTGAATCATCAATGAAATTACTCAGTGCAAGGAAATTGCTCAATCCACCAAACTACTCAGACAATGTGACCAGGTGTTTGGCAAGGTTTACCTAATCTGGTATGGAATTGCTTTCTTCATTTTCTGCCTCAAGAGAAGCTCATCCAGAGTGAGAACAGTGACTGAGGGGAGCCCTCATTATGGACTGCAGCTTTCTCTTGAGGGGAAGGGACAGCACCAATATCTGGTGGCCAGTGGCAGGACTCAAGGGCATAGTTGTGTCAGAGAGGTTTAGGTTGGATTTAGGGAAAGGTTCTTCCCCAGAAGGTGCTGGCACTGCCCAGGCTCCCCAGGGAATGGCATAGCCCCAAGGCTGCCAGAGCCCCAGGAGTTTGGACAGCAGTGCCAGGGTGGGATTGTTGGGGTGTCTGTGTAGGAACAGGAGCTGGGCTCAATGATCCCCGTGGATCCCTTCCATATTCTGTGATTCCATGAACTGCCAGGGGCTGAAAGCAAAAATTAAACTATGAAACATCAGATGAAACAGCAGCTGAATTCAGGTTTTCCTGGATGACAAAAAAGAATTCAGCTCTGGGAGAGGCTAAAAGACCTGATCATGCTTTATCCCTCATTGTGTTATGTCCAAAATGTAAAAAATGTTGGAAAACATTATACTAGATTAACAGATTTCTTGCACTCTATACATTCAGACTCAGATGTGTGTTAATAGAACTTGTTTATAGAACCTAACTGCAATTTCCACATTTCAGTGTTACCATTAAGGAAGCAAACAACGAACAAAAAGCTTAAAGATCACAAATTTCACTCCCCATAGAACTGCTGAGGTAGCATTTTTGTTATATGGGGAAGAATGATGTGACGTGGGATTAACAGGCATGAGTCAGTAAGCATATTCCTAATATTTATTCTAGAGCTTCTGGCAATCGAGCAGCATAGTTTCTTCCAGAATTCAATTGAAATTTAAAGATGCTGTCTGTCAAAGGAGACAGTTTTAGGCAGATCCAAGTTCATTCATAACCTCAGAACCAGGTTCCCAAAGCTGTATTGGACCAGCAACAACAATCACACTTTCTTGGTCAGAGCTTGCCTCTCTCTTGGACCTTTGAAGACAGCCTTGGTGGCACCTGGAAGAATAATCATAGGCCCTGCACACCACCAGCTCACACTGCAGGTAAACCTCAGGATTGCTCCGAATGAACTGGAAGGCACTGAATTTAAACCGGAGGATGTTCCTCTGAGGAGAGTAATAAGTAGCATAGGTGGGATCTTTGACACACCTAAAAAGGAACAAAAAACCCCTCTCATGAATACACACGGCAGTCAGTCATTTACATGCAATAAAACACACAGCATGAGAAGTCATTTTTAAACACAACGAAAACGGTTCAGAAAGCTACAAGCGGGAAAACCAAAATGCCTTTCTTTGGCAGAATTGAACCACATTGCCTTTCCTCAGCCTGTCATATGTCTGATATGTGGTGCTTGTATGATTCTGTGAAGGTAAATTAACCTTACCTGAGGTATTTCACTATTACCTTAATAATAATAACAACAATAACAATAATCCATCGTGAACTGGCCATAGCCATTTAGTCTACTTGTTATTTTAAGCTGTGGTCTGTGTATGTTATATTTTGGGTCAATCCATCTCCCTTTTCCCAGTGAACCCTGAATGCTATTGTCCATTAATTGACTAGAAACCATCATTATTATGTGCTATATTCACATTATTCTATTAAATTTAAAAAAATTAATAAGAGAGACAGGAGTTTGAAGGCAGTTGTATCTGTAATTGTAATTCATAGGAACTCACCCATTCTTGATGATAGGATAGGTTCTGGTTGTAAAATTGTGGCGAGTGGGAGATGCCACACAAGTGTCCAGAAATAACTCCAGCATTGGGTCAGAGCTATGCAGGGAAGCTTCCAGGAACAAATTCTGGTTGATGCCAACATGGTAGGGTGAGTCATACACTGGTCGTGAGAAGCTTGAAGAGTCATAAAATGTGAGGTTTACATCGTATCTTTCATACTGAGTTTCGTTGACTTCAAAGTTGCCGTCCGCAACGTACATCGTTTTTGCCCAAGTGTTCTGGAGCATCTTGCAGTTGACATGCAAGAGAAGATTTCTATTTCTTGTGATTAATGTACCAGAAGAGGACCCTCTAATAATGTTGGAATAGCTGATTGTGTTGTTGTTTCCCTGTTTGGCACATAAAATAAAATGCAAAATTAATTCATAGAGCCAGGTACCCTCTTATGCATTCTGAACTTTGCTGTACCCTTACAGCAATGTGAACTGTAAAAACATTATTTCCCAGAAAGTCTGATGTGGAAAAGTCTGAATCTAGTAATTTCTGTTCTCAAGATAAAACTATGTAATATTAATGTGATATTCAGTGCCCAAATTTTGGTCTAGAAAACTACTCACAATAAATGCAGATGTAACAGAATTAAATACAACCTGTACAACATTAAGTACATGAACATTCAGGTCCAGCACATTAGTTAAACTGAAATCTGGCCACAATATTATTAGTCATGTTTAGTGAAAGCTTTGAAACTTTTGTAACTATCACACTCAGCCTAGGACCTTGAAAATGCCAAGTATTTGTATCCTTCCACAGCTTATTCCTTTGGAGATGAATAATGGGTTGTAAGGGAATGTCCTGTTTGCAGAGGAAGAAAATGCAAGTGCAAATAAACCTTATCCTTTACTAGAGAGGGAGACAACCCATAATCACCAGGACACTTCCAGTCCCTGCAGATCCCAGGAAGCTTTCAATTTGTGCTGGTTTTCAAAGCGAAATATTCTGTTTGAATTTTTATATCCTCCCGTTATTTGCCCACTTTGTTGAAATGTTCAGTCCTACCTCTCTGACAGTGCCACAGCGAGTGTATGGAATGTCAAATGACACAGAATTTGATGTGATGTTGGGTGTGCAAAAGGGGTCGTTCAGGGTGAGGTTCCAAGCAGAGTAGCCATGGGTCTGAAGGAAGTATCTGCTCACAACCACATGCATGTAGTCTGGCAAACACAGCAGTGCTAGTGGGTGGCAGAGAAAATATGTTACAAGCTCAGTCAAGTGACCAAAAAAGGTTGCAAGAAGCGGATTAAATAAACATTATCTTTTGCAGAGGCAGTTGATATAGAAGGAGTTCAGAATCCAAACCACGGACTTGAATCTCCACGAAAACGCTACAGATCTAATTTAAATTTTGCAGATCTAATTTAAAACACTAACAAGATTAACAATCAGTGAACTAGAAAATAATTGAAAAGCATGTTTCTGCTTTAAAGATGAACTTACTGGTGCTGTCATCAGCTGGAGTGGAATAATAGTTGGCCTGAAACCCTCTGTATGTGTATCGGGAGTCGCTGTGAAAGCGGACGCTCAGCAGGTTTGAGGACGATGTGTACCTGGGGTGATAACCAGAACAAATCTTCCCAAGGAGAGGAGAGGTTTGCAGGGGCCCATCATAGATTTCCACATAGTCAGAGAGGCATCTGCCACCTTCCATCCTGGGAAGCAACATAACTATTTGGTTTAATGCTTCATTTTTATGTTCTTTGTTTTTTGTTTGCTTGTTGGTTTGGTTTTTTGATTATCTCTTTATCTTTGGCAGAAGAAGACATTTGATTGATATGACTGTCAAATCTTTGGAACAGAATCTACAGCCACCAATTTCTGTCTCATTAGATGTCAGCCACATTTTTTTCAAAAATGAACACATCTTCCCTCTCCAGATGTACTAAAAGCTTTGATAAAGATCCTTAAAAACAAGTAGGCATTTGCTTAGTAAGTCCAAGTTGTCAGTCCCATATGTTCATCTTTCCCCAGTAATAAATTCTTACTTACTGAATATCTGTAAATTCAAGCATGACACGGAAGTTGCTTTTTACTTGTATTTCCCACACGCAGTTGGCATTGTTTGGATAATTTCTGGGATAAAATGGGCTCTGTAAGGTACCAGATGAAGAGGAGAGCAAACCACCACAAGAATAATCTTCTGCAGAGAAAAACAAGAAGAAAAAGATATGTATGCACCTTTAGGGTTGTGTTTGGAGTATGTCTGTGTGAAGTTCATGTCTAAATAAAGAGATAGTGACTTCTATCAGCTTCAGTAGCCTCTCCATCAGGTTCATATACACCTGAATGCAGGTTAGGAGATGCTAACCACACTGAATAGATTTTATAATGCTGATCTGCAGGGCCTGCACTAGCAGGATACAAATAATTTCCACAGAACTGGGCAGTTTTGAGGCTGGAATTATGAAGGTCAGCTGTTCCTTGAAATAGGAACCCCCTATTACAATTGCTAATGACCACAGGGAAGAGGAAAAAACTAATCAAATAATTTTGTTTCAAAAGTAGAATGCTAATAAATATCCCGTTCACAAACTTACCCAAGTCCTTCAAACCTACCTGAGGTTGGTGATGGAGTGGAAGTATCGGGAGCTGTAGGGAGAGAGCAGCAGGTGAACACTCAGCATTTTGCCTAAGAGAAACAGCCCTCTGGGGGTCACCCCTCCCCAGAAGGGCTCCTGAAGGGACACAGACACCAGACCCACAGTCACAACCTGGACACATGGCAGGTCCCCATCCACCCACCAGCCCAGGGTGCAGCTGGTGTTCTGCACGTGCAAGAGCTCCCATCAGCAGGGCCTTGGCCTCTTTTGTTAATGGTCAGCAGGGTGGGACAGAGTGGACCCTCAGCATGTTTGCTGGGGACCCCAAACTGGAGAGAGGACAGGCAGATGGTGCTGCTGCCATTCCGAGGGAGCCTGGCACTGCAGACAGAGCAGCAGCCAGCCTTGCTGCTCCACAGCTCCTCAGCTGCCAAAAGGAGTTCTCTGCACTGTGGCTGAGCACATCACCACCCTTTATTTTGGAAAAACAAAAAGTAGCCTTTGGCCTCTGCGGCAATGAGTGTGCCAGGGCTGAGCAAATCCTCTGCCTACAGCACACTCAGGAAAACTGATGATAGCTCAGTGGCAGCACTGGGGGAGGTGGAGAGAGTCCCATTCCTGCCCACCAGGCAAAGAAACAGTGTCTGGCAGCAGCTTCATGGCCATCCTCCTCTCCTGAAGAATGCCCTTGAGCCAGGTTGCTTCTAAGTGGGGCCAGAGGATCTGGATGCCCACAAGGTGCTGAGAGCCACCAGAAGATCTTTGTGACCGAGTTTGAGCTCCTGCCCTGGCGAGGAGAAAAGGCCAGCTCTAGCCTTACCCACGGTGGCATTGAAGGCAAGAAATGATGAGTAGTAGGCGTGGAAGCCCCTCCGGGTGACGCTGCCATCGCTGCGGAACAGGACGGTGAGCTGGTTCCCGGAGGAGTTGAAGACGCGATCGTCGTTCCGGCAAACGAGGCCGAGGCGCCCGCTCTGGGGGGACCCTCCGTCGAACACCTCGATGGCGTCGTAGGGGCAGCTGCTGCCTTCCAGCCTGCGGGGACAGCAGGATCTGCTGAGCACAGCTGCCGGGCCCAGCACCCCGGCTCCATGCCCGCCCGGAGCTCGGGCAGCGGTGGGGACGAGGCCGCCCCGTGGACTCACTCCACGTCCGTGAACTGCAGCTGGATCCTGCGGGCCGGGTCCCGCAGCTGGATGCGCCACACGCAGTAGGCGTTGTTGGGGTAGGAGTTGGGGTATCCCGGGCTCTGGATGGTGCCAGACAATGCCTGAAGTAAGCCACCACAGGAGATGTTCCCTGAGGGAAAGAGCAGAGCCATGGCAGAGAGATCTTATCCCATTGCCAGAATCCATCAGATTCTTGATGAGCATGGCCCTGCCAAGGAGGCTCTGCCACAGCCCCACAGGGACCCTCCCTGCCAGGCACCCCAAAACATCATCCCTGCTCCCCCCAGCCCAAGGCACGGGTTGTGCTCAGCTCATACAATAACCCAGATCCATGGGGATGGCTGTCCACCTGGGGAAGGAAATAATCAGACCCCCTAACTCCTGTGGACCTAAATGTGGTCTGTGACAGAGGGGAAGTTGAGCTGGAGGCACCTGGTGCTGCAGGGAGAAATCAGCAGGATTCACTGCCTGCATTTTTCCTAAGAGATACAACCTGCCTGGAGTCAGCCCTCTCCAGAAGCCAGGCTCTTTCCAGTGGTGCACAGTGAGGGGACAAGAGACCATGGGCACAAAATGAAACACAGAAGATTTCCTCTGAACATCAGGAGAATTTCTCTGCAAGGGTGACTAAGCACAGACACAGGTTGCCCACAGAGGTGGCAAATAGCCAAAAACCCTTTGGATATGGCTTTGGGTAGCCAGCTCTGGCTGATCCTGCTTTTAGCCAGGGGGTAGGACCAGATGTACTCCAGAGATCCCTTCCAACTTCATCATCCTGTGATTCTGTGATGCATAACTGAGGGCAGAAGCTAGTCCAGCCCCATAGCTCCTCTGGACATACCTGTTGTAGTCCACATCCTGGTGCGCATCAATCTGGAGACAGCAGGTGCTGCAGGGAGAGAGCAGCAGAGGAACAAGCAGAGTTTTACCTAAGAGGATCATCCTGCTGGGAGTCCCCCCTCTCCAAGCCCACATGAAACCCCAGTGAAAGCCAAAGCCCACAGGCAGCACTGCAGTGTGGCAGGACTGAGGTGGCTGCAGTGCCAGCACTTGCTCAAGGGCATCCCCACTGCAGCACCATGAAGACCAGTGCCAAACCTCTCCCACAGAAGTGGCTGCTCAATCCCAAATGATCCCAAGCAATCCCACATCTCCCTGAATGTTAGGGACATTAGCCAGGGTCTGTACAGCATACACAGAGTATCCCAGAGAAAGAAAACCCAATGGAAAACCCATATATAAAAAGAAATCTCTTGTTACCTGGTGTTGGAGTCACTGCTATTCCCGAGTCTGGAAGGAGAAAATCAGAGGATGTGAGGCACCAGGACTGCTTGGCTCCCCTTGGACCACGTATTTAATTTCATGGAAAGTTATGGAGGAACCCATGGGGAGGATGGCCTGACTAAAAACCATCCCTCTCCTCACACCCTGCTCCGTGCAGGAGTGATGCCCAAACCCCGCTCCGTGCAGGAGTGATGCCCAAACCCCAGATTTCCCAGGTACAGTCTGCAAACATGAGATTGATGAAACACCCCACTCTGCATCAGGCACGTGGACCTGCTGCTGCCCTGCTGAGCGTGGAGCAAGGGCTGGGCAGCCTTCATCCCACCTCAATCCAGATGGATTTTCTTGAGGAAAATGCCACCAAAGCACAGACACCCACCTGAGCACACGACAGAAGCGGCTCCATGGTAACAGGCACTGTACTTGTATTGGTAGGGGCACTGCCACACGTAGTTCTCACTGCCCGTACAGTTCACCTCAGAAATCATGTACGGGTACGAGCTGCTCGGAGGGAAGGGGTACATGACTGCCAGAGGGAAGCCACAGCCCAGCTGCCTGCACACCACCGTGGCATCCTGCATGTCCCACAGGGAGCCACACACCTTCTCCCAGGCTCCGAAGTAGTAGATCTCCACATTCCCTGCACACCGGTTGGGCCCGTTGTTCAGCCTCAGCTGCAGCTCTTCGAGAGACACAAAGCCCTTGGTCAAGCCAGTGGTGCTCTGGGTCCAGGGAATGACATCCCACACCCTTCTCTGGGTGTGGTTGCATCCACCTGCAGCACAGCCCAGGGCTGGAAGCCCCTTCTCAGCTCCCACACCGTAGGATGGAGAGGTTGGGGCAGCCTGGGCAGGCACACACATCCCTGTGCCCAGGGCCATGACGAGAACCCTGGCAGACAGACTCACCATCAAATATGATTGGAGCTGTGGAGGAGAACAAGCAGAGAGAAAAAAAACAAAAAACAAAAAACAAAAACAAAAAACACAGAGAGCAAAAGAATTAGGACAAATACTTTGAGAGCTGTCACTTCCTCCAGTGAGTCAAGATCCCACTGAAGTTCACAAGTTAAAGATTTTATTCATTCTAGCAAGGAGGCTGGTTGCTGGAGGGCAAAGCTATCCCCAAATTCCTCCATCCCAGATAATTCTCATGTACATCCCCATCCCCACCCTAAAGAAAATGTGAGCTTGTAATCATACTCATTTCTTCCCAACAATAAATACTATCGCAAAAACATAAATCTATCACTACTATAGGAAATAACAATCAGATGAATTCTACTTACTTGTTGTGGAGCCAGTAGTTGTTGGAGGTCTTGTTGTTGCTAAAGAAGAAAAAAATAAGACAGCATATGTGAAGGTCAACAAGGCAAATTTAACATGCAACTTCCTCAAACCCTGTTCCAGTCTCTAGCAATTTGCAGCCAATGAACTTGAGATCCAGGAGATTTCTGTCTACTTTAGTCAATCTCAGCAGTATTTTCTCCCAGTAACCACCTCTTTGTGAGCCCACCAAAACCTGCAAGTGGCCCAGGGAGTGCCTTGAAATGGGACCAGATTTCTCAGGTCACCCAGCCCCCTGAGCTGGGAAAAGGGACAGGGAGCAGGATAAATCTCCATAATCCAAGGGGAATCCTTGGATAATCACAACTCTGTGGGGCTGGATGGGATCCACTCAAGGGAGCTGTGGGGACACAGCCTGGAGGAAAGAAGGCTCAGGAGGAACCTTATTGCTTCCTACACTGAAAGGAGGCTGTAGCCAGGTGGGGGTCAGTTCCTTCTCCCCCATAACAAGGACACAGCCTCAAGTCAGACTGGAGATAAGGGGAAATCTCTCCTTGGAAGGAACAGGCTGCCCAGGACACTGGTGGAATCACCATCCCTTGAAGGGATTTAAAAGCCATGTAAATGTGCACATGTAGACACGTAAATGTGTGGAGCTGCTGGGTTAATGGCTGAACTGATGATCTTAATAGTCTTTTTCAGCTGGAACAATACTTTGATTCTATCTGCTGGTTTCAGCTGAGCTGATCAGGAGCTGGTAGCTCTGCTACTGATATGAGAATAGGCTGTGAAAAACGGCCTCTTTCTCCAAATCAAGCAAGGAAAACCTCAACAGAAATGACAATGACATAAAATATCCGGGGAGATGCTCAGAACAAGACCAGTGACAAGGGAGGCTGCATTATTTTCATCGGGCACAGCTGCAGGTAAAAAAGGAGTCTCCAAAAGCCCCCTGTCCCAAGTTCTGCTGACATTCCCACCACATCTAATCTGCCTCTCATTCCCTTCCCCCTCCAACACTGATTCCATCAATACCGCTGGAGCTGGTTTCACTAACATGGTCAAAAAAGGTTTTCCCTGCTAGGGCTGATGGAAAGCCTCCAGGTGGCACTAAGAGATCAGAGGTGTCCCTCAGGACAGGGCTCTGGCAGGCAGAGAAAGGCGAACCCTTTCCTGGTGTTTTTGGATAGGGTGACAGCACCAAACCTATATTCAGAATTAATAACGGCATTTCATGTGAGTCCTGCTCTGTCCCTACACAGGTGACTGAAAAGCAGACTACAAACCTGTATTCAGCCAAAATTTGTCCAACAAACCTGTAGTCAGCCAAAATTTGTCTGTTTAAACCGTGGATGATTTTGCTCTGGGATTTCAGAGATACTCAGAAACCGCTGCATTTATATAACCTCCACTTTTAACCTGGCTTTATTACCCTAAGCTTTTAACCCAAGCAGTGATTTAACTAAGCTGTTCATTGCAGTGATGACTCTCATTCTTTCTGTGAGAGGAGCAACAAATATTCAATTACATGCTGTGTTTTAAGTGCACGTATGTACTGCCATGTGGATTCTACATGGGTGCATTCAGCATCTGGGACTCCAGTCTGAAGGACACTGACTACCCTGGTATGTTGGCTGCTGCTGGAGTAGGAGAGTTTTCATCAGCCTGGAGAGAGAATATTTAGCAAGGCCAACTCTATAGGCAATGTACATCTTTATGTAACTTTAAAGTTATCTGTTAGAGGCATTTTTGTTGGAGAATATGCTAATGTTAACACAAGAAACAAAAACAAGGAAAAAACATGTTGAAGGAATATTACATGAATTAAGCAATGAGGACAAGAAGTTTCCATGCACAGGATCCCCTGGTGGCACTGGCAAAGGGGTGCCAGTGGATTTGCAAGGGAGTGGATTAGCTCCAGCTAAAACTGGGGATAAAAATCCTACTCTGTGGACAGCCTGAGAGGTAGGAATATGCCCTCACCAATATCATGTTTGATAAGACCTGTGGCATTGGCTCTCAAACTCACAGTCTATGTGTTCAAAGTGATTCTGGATGCAAAAGATCCCGACAGGCACAAATGTCATTTATTCAGATATTAGGAAACTTTCCAACACATCCCACCATGCTATTCCTCATACATGCAAGGCTTTAAATCTAAATTAGCTGGGTGGAAATGAAAGGGTTAAACAGCAACTCAGTATTTTCCAGCTGAACATCAACATCCCAGCTTAGTTTTCAGTATCACTAATTGCACCCCAAATATTTATGGAGAGAGCAAATAATGGGGGCATTAAAAACCTGAGTCTGGCAGCAGCCCTGAATGCTATTTCTTTCTGCTCTGTGTGAGGGGG